CAAGTCGACCAAGATACTCAAATATTTATAGGAATCGACAAACTCAATAGGGACACCATTTGAGAATAAAATCAGAGGAAGAACTGCTGGGACCGACTTCCTGTTTGAAAAAAGCATCCCTTTGGTTTTATTGGCATTTAGGACAAGTTTGAGGTGGAAAAAATCTGACTGGATGATGTCAAAAACGGATTGCAAAAGCTGGAGCTGGCACTAATAGTACAAAAACAATACGCAGAACAACAGCAGCACGAACATGAGTCTGTGTGAGCAGATGAATACAGCAACATGAAATAAATCAGCAGCAAAAGATCAACAACATGGATCGTGCAACCAACTTCCAGTTTCTGTCCATAAGGCTGACACATTGTCTACGTTTAAGATTAAGTATTTCCTTTTTGATAAATCCTACATTTAGATTTGGGCTTGGGTTTCCTGAGCTATCCTTTAGTTATGCTGCTATGGGCTTAGACTGCGGGAGGACAAACTGACCACATTCCTTAACTATGCTACTGTCTTTACTTACTCTGCTCAACCTGATTTGTATTTATAATTTATTTTGTCCTTGACATGTGATTTTGTCTTTCATCCAATAGGGGGTACACCTGCACCTACATCTGGACCTGCCATTCTGTGTTGTTTGTCTCTCCTTCCTGTCCTCTCAAACCCCAGTCAAAGCAGATGGTCACGTGTCCCGAGCCTGGTTCTGCTGGAGGTTTCTTCCTTTTTAAAAGGGAGTTTTTCCTTTCCACTGTTGCCACTGTGCTTGCTCAGGATGAGAGACTGCGACGAAGTGAAGATTCAACGAGTCTGCTGGCTTCCTTAGATAGAGAACTTTAATAATTTGCTTTTGTATGTATACAATGTTCCTGTACAGTGCTCTGAGACAACTTCTGTTGTGATTTTGTGCTATATAAATAAACTGAATTGAAATGATCACTTATTAGAAACCATCCATCCATCCATTATCTTTACCCGTTTATTCCATTTTGGGTCACGGGGGTCGCTGGTGCCCATGTCCAGCAATCACTGTGCGAGGGGCGGGGGACACCCTGGACGGGTCGCAAGTCCATCACAGGGCCACATAGAGACTAATGAGACAAACAACCATTCACTCTCTCACTCACACCTAGGGACAATTTAGAGTTACCAATCAGCCTAACATGCATGTTTTTGGTCTGTGGGAGGAAACCGGAGTACCCGGAGAAAACCCACGCATGCACGGAGAGAACATGCAAACTCCACCCAGAAGGGCCCTGGACCGGGGTTTGAACCAGGGACCTGTTCGCTGAGAGGCAGCAGCTCTACCAGTTGCGCCACTGTGCTGCCACTTATTAGAAACCCACATTGTTAATTTGAAGTTGTCTTGTTTACTGAGCTAAGTTATGTTTAGTTATAGCTTGTTTCTTTCTAAATTTCATAATTCTTATGCTCTCAATCGCACCATAGCTGTTCTGATGCTTGTGAACGCACCGCTCTGTGTGTAATTAGATTTTTTTTCTCTCCCGACACACACAACTTTGCGTTGGAGCATATACCTACACTTTCTTGGTTTACTGCTGTGTGTATTGCCAGATGAAACACAACAAATAAATGAACCCCAAACTGGATATCTGTCTCCGTGTTCTTTAATGGGAGCACAATGTCATCATACCTTGCTGCTCTAAACCAGTTAATTTCCTGGAGAACAACCAAAACTCTCCTTTTTATCATTGTTGTATTCAGCTGATCATGAGGTTGGCCGCAGGGCTTTATCAAAATTTTAAAAATTTCCCGACTCCGTTTAGGTTTTGGAAATGGAAGAAATTCCTTAGATAGAGAACTTTACTAATTGGCTTTTATGTATGTGAATGTTCCTGTAAAGTGCCCTGAGACAACTTTGCTGTGATTTGGTGCTGGATTGGCAGACTGGGGTGGTGGTTCCAATTTTCACAAAGGGGGACTGGAGAGTGTGCTACAATTATAGGGGCATCGCTCTCCTTAGCCTCCCTGGTAAGGTATTTTCAGGGGTACTGGCGAAGCGAGTCCGATCATTGGTCGAACCACAGATCCAGAAGGAACAATGCAGGTTCTGTCCTGGCCGTGGAACACTCGAGGTGCTCGAGGTGTCATGGGAGTTTGCCCATCCAGTCTACATGTGTTTTGTGGACTTGGAAAAGACATTTGACCATGTTCCTCAGGGTACACTGTGGGGGTGCTCCGTGAATATGGGACTGGGGGCCTGTTGTTACGGGCTGTTCGCTCCCTATACAAGTGGTGCGAGCGTTTGCTTCACTTTGCTGGTAGTAAGTCGGATCCCTTCAGGGTGGGAGTTGGACTCCGCCAGGGCTGCCCATTGTCACTGACTCTGATCATAACTTTTACAGACAGAACTTCTCGGTGCAGCCATGGGGCGGAGGGATCCCAGTTCAGTGGCCTCAGGATTCTATCTCTGCTCTTTGAAGATGATGTGCTCCTGTTGGCGTCATTGTGCCGTGATCTTCAGCTCTCACTGGAGCGGTTTGCAGTCAAGTGTGATGGGGTTTTCATTAATTCAACCTTTATTTATACAGGCTAGACTCATTGAGCCATGGGGACTCATTTGCAAGAGGGACCTTTTCCAGACAGAACATATAAAGTACAGACAACAAAACAGTAGACAATGATTACAATCAACTACAGTAAAAAAATGATGTTAAAATAAGAGTAGTGTACAAAACAATAAATCAGGGTGCCATGAAACAGAGTGAAATACTAAAAACAAGAACACATTTGCTTTGATTTTTCTATTGACATTATCAAATGTTTGAAACTCCGTAAAGAATTCAAGCAGGACAACTTCATTCCTGCTGCAAGGTGTTCCAGGTTGCAGGAGCCAAGTAGGAAAAGGCCTTTTTGTCAAGTTCGGTCCACACTAAGGGAACGTTGCAGGTAATAATGGACTGAGAGCGCACGTTGTAACTGCACTGATGACGTGACATGTGGGAGGAGATATAAGAAGGCAGCAGACAAAGGAGGGATTTACAGATGAAGATGTACCTGTGTGAGAGCCAACGTGTAGATAATGATGACAACTGACCCAAGGAGTACAGGGTGCAGTTACAATGGACTGAGAGCGCATTACCTCATTCCCTGTTTTCCTGGACAGTATAGTCCTGCACCTTTGTGTTCTCTGCTCCTTGTAGGACTGAAAGCACAAGATCCTCGATACAAGTGGTTGAAATAAGCTTCTTTAGAATGGCCAAGCTCAGCTTCCGGGGGGAAGCTTGGAGAAGAGTCGCTGCTCCTCCCCATCTAAAAAAGCCAGCTGAGTTTTTTCAGAAAACTGATTAGACTGACACCTCACTTTGGAGGTTTTACGGGCACGTCCCTGGAAGGGCACTCCCAGGCAGACTAAGAACTATGATCAGAATAATATCTTCTTCAGCCTGTAAACTCCTTGAGGTCCCCCAGATGGAGAGTTGTTAGGAAGAAGGATGTCTGGGTTTCCTGTTGTCTCCTCAACCTGACCACAGCTGAGCATCCAACTTCCATTAGTACATGTTGCTACAGTGTTCGAATAGAAAAATCCATTAAGATGACCCTGATCACTCAGCACAATTAACAAATCTTGCTGTTCCGACAATAGGAAGTCAACGCCATTCCAGATCCAATATGCCTTTAATATCAAAGTTTCAGACTAAAATAATCTTATGTTGAGAAATGACAGCTGTAGTCTTTTTGGTCAACTCTTGAAAATAGCATTCAACTCAATCTTGTGATATCGTGAGATGGTTAGGTTCACACTCTCATTTACTACCACATCAAATTTTAGCTCTATATTTTTGTAGAATCAATAGTTATAGCCATCGTTTGCATTTTTAAGGCCAGTTGGCTGTGGCAGACATCTTGAATTGGGTTAACTCTAATCACTGGATATGTATATCCATAGATTCAGAATGTTTCGTTAAAATCTATCCTGTGGTTTGTGATATATTTTTATAACAGAGCTGACCCAGACATTTAATGCTAATGTTTAAAGCAAATATCTTGCACAATGAGGGGCACTTAAATACAAACTGCAGATGACTCTAAGCTACTAACACGCCATTAGCACATCTGTCAAACAAGCTGAATTATAGCCCTGTTTTTGAGTTTTAAGGTCCATTGATGTGGTGGTTGTCTAAAACAGTGGTATATATGCGTGTAATGGGTTCTTCTTGAGAGTTTCAATAAACTTTGCAGCGTGGTTTACGAGCTATTTTGCTAACAGACAGAGAGAGCTATCTGTAGGCGCTCAGAACTTGTGTTGGCAATCAGTCTTGGCTACTACCACACCAAAATTTAGTTCTGTAAAACTGACAGATCAGGGTTTTTAGGCGTTTGACTGTGGCGGCCTATAAGGGTGCTGACTCTAAAAGTTAATCAGTTGCATCTGATACGTTTTAAAGTTTTCACAAAAGTCATGAAATATTTTGCTAACAGACACAGGAGCACACCTATACAAACCCTGACAATAACATTACCAGCTGGCAATCATTACACATACAGTACAGGCAAAATAAATCAAATGTGCAGAGCTGATGGAAAAGAGAACCAGGGTTCTGATTAGCAGCTATTGGACAACAATAAAAAATATTTTGATTT